GAGCCATCTCACCAGCCCCTGTGTTAAAATTTAGAAAAGGCTGGGGATATAGTTGAGTGCTCCAGACATTCAATTAAAACACAAAATATAGGAGAGAAATTTAATGAATAGAAGAAAATATCAAAATACCTTAATAAAATCAGTGCCTATTAGAGATTTTTTTTTTCTTTTTTCTTTTTGAGACAGGTCTTGCTGTGCAGTTCAGGCTGGCCTCGAATTCATTACATAGTCCAGGCTGCCCTCAAACATCTGGGGAACCTCCTGCCTCAGCTTCCTGAGTGTTGGGATTACAAGCTGCCACCACCACACCCAGCCCTAGAGAAGTTATACATATATATTTATTTATTTATTTTTATCTTTCACTCTTTATTCGCCCGGGTAGCACCAATTCCATGTGCACATTCGAGCCATTCTTTCTCAAAAGCATGGCATCGAGAAGCAATTCTGTGGGGCTATTCAGAACTTTGGATCATCATGTGACAATCTAAACTAATGCCCAGTCTTTTCTGTACATCAGAGAAAGGCATGACATCACACAGAAGTGCCCTTGTCTCCTTCCCGGGCTGCCACTTCCGAACCTATAGTTTATTTGTGAAACAAATTAAAGAAGTCAGTCCAGGGGGAGGTCAGGGGGTTCTTCCTCATCTGAGTCAAACTCAACGTTTTCATCTTTTATCCATCGACCTTCCCCATCTGGGATCCATCCAGAGCTTCAAAGGGTGAGGTAATACCCAGGGCTCGTCTTCTTGTGGGACTCATGGGTGCAGGATCTGAGGCAGCTGCTGATTCCTTAGCCTGTGGGCCAGGCCTAGGCTCAGGTTCCCTATTGATCTTTTCACTCTGGAGTTCAATCTCTTGGGCTGGCAAAGGGGAACAGGAGACAGAGGAACCAGGGGCTTCTGGTCTGTGCTTCCGGCAGCAGCAACTGTTACAGTGGGGAGCTCTGTGCAGTGCACTCTGGGTGAGTAAGTCTGGGTTAAGTCTGGGTTAGCAGAGGAACCTCAGATTTGGTCTCCTCCCCCTTCGAATCATTTTGTGGTCTTGGATTTTGCCCCATTTCCTTTTCTGGCTGCTTCTTACCATAGAAAGCTGCAGGCTAGATAAATGCTTCGTGCCTCCACGGTGGGCGGTCAGCATGGCCAGTGTGTCTAGTACAGGTCGATGAGGACAGATGGCACAAGCAAAGCGTGCATCCCGCAGCATCAGCGCTTCATCTTCTGGGATATAACTGGCCAGCAAGTCCCAACTCTTCATTTTCTGAGCACATAGAGCTGACTCCAATCGTCTCCTTCCTTCTTGAAAGACATCACGACTTTGAATCCCAGAAATGATACATTCTCTCTGGCTGACCTTGCAACTCCTTCGGGCCAAGAAGTTGTATTTTGAAATAAAAGATCTGACTTGTATTTTAACAAAAGAAAAGGAGCCTGAGAGAAGCCTGGAAAGCCTTGCCGTATTTCACATCCATTTTCTTTGCTAACTGACGATGGAGTTGCGCAAATTTAAAAGATTGTGAGGGCTGATTTAAGTTGGAGTCACTTTTCTGATTTCCTTTTTCCTGTGCTAACACACACGTAGAGTTCTGTACACCATAGCTATCCAGTTTAAAGAATAACACAAAGCAAACTCCTAT